TTTAGGGTTAGGTTTAGGGTTAGGTTTAGGGTTAGGTTTAGGGTTAGGTTTAGGGTTAGGTTTAGGGTTAGGTTTAGGGTTAGGTTTAGGGTTATCTTTAGGGTTAGGTTTAGAGCACGCTTCTGTCGGCACGCTGTTGTGGGCGTGCTTCTGCACTCATTCGTCGGCGTAATTTCGAACTCGCGGTTTTGTCAGCACGCTTTTGTCAAGCGTGCATTTGTCGGTGAACCGTCTCAAGTTGCTAGCATTTAACTAGCAGGACATTTCATTGTAGTAAGCAATCTTTTATTCACCCTCTTTTAAAAATCAAAACAAACACATGAAGTTTTAGACAAAGAAGGCGAAAATGCAGGAGATCAGCCCATAGCTATTATTACTTCACTTGAACTTGGCAAAGGAGGAGCAGACAAAGTGACAGCTGGTATTCCGTGTGGCATATCACAAAAAAGTTTGGATATCCAATCTATCTTCACTCTTCCTGTCCCAAAGGATGCTAAGCACATGCAGCCATTCATTACAAAGGCCAACGTAACTGAGCAGATCCAAGCAGCATAAAATATCCCAAATCTCCCTAGAAACCCTTTGTGCTGTCTTTTTTTTTTTTTTCTTAGCAAGAAGAGAAAACCAGTTCCATTTTTGACAACTGTATGGTCTTCGTAAAGAAAAATAAATGCAACAATTATATCATTACCCCTTCAGTTACTCAGATTATGGGGAAGTGCAGCAGGAGATTAGCAGGTGCAGCAAGAAGACAGCTGCCAAATGGCTGTTAGATGAATTTGTTAAGGAAAACAAACAATTCCTGACAACTTTCCTCTAGATCTAATTCTGGACAGGCCGATTGGGAAGCAGACTTGAACAGCATGAATTGCCCAGCTGCCCAACATCAAACAAAACAAAAACCAGGATGGGATAACCCTTCATTTCTATCAATTAATCCTAAATTTGGATGGCAGATTCCGCTTTGCAGAAAATTGAATTAAGCATCTTTCCAATACTATACAAATCCAGATACTTCCCCCCCTGATCTAAGGGGGAAAGATGATATTCCTCACTAGTACTTCCAATTGAATAAACCTTGCTTAACCTGACAGCAAAGTCGGCATGGACGGAGAGTTTAACGTATATTCGCTCCAAGCCAACAGATGGCTTTGCGTTGGATTTAACAACTCTCTTCAGTTTAAGAAGCTGGACAATTTGTTTTGTAATTTTTTTTATTCTTTAAGGGGGTCTCGTTTCTGTATATTGATGCTCGTGCATGCATGCATCAATCTTCGAACAGCATTGATGCCTGACAACTTCCTGATTAGTCCCTGAATTTTTTTGGGCCAGGGTTTTTCATAAATGGTTTGCCCTTGTCTTCTTCCAAGTGTTAGAGAGGGACTGGCCCAAGGTCACCCAGCTGGCTTTATGCCTAAAGTGGAACTAGAATTCCTGGTCTCCCAGTTTATAGCAATAGCAATAGCAGTTAGACTTATATACCGCTTCATAGGGCTTTCAGCCCTCTCTAAGCGGTTTACAGAGNGAATGAAATGCTTGGTAAGATGAGAAAGCCAGCCAGGGAAATGGCCTAAATGTCTCATGTTAAATCACCGAGGACAGTTATCATTTGCCAGCTTTATTGCTGTGAAAGAAAAAGATTATTGGAAGACGTATAACTTAAACTGGCATAATTTTCTTCAGATTCAAAGAAAAGTCTGTTTTTCCCCTCATTTGCAAGAAACAAAACTTTATTAAACCAGAACCTTACATGAATTGCTATATGGATGTGTCAAATTGTAGAAGGCCAAACATCTTATCATTCCTTTGAAGCTGAATGGATGTCCTTAAATGACATCCTGTCGAAAGGAGTGGGGAACAATTTGAGAGAAATCTGTAAAAGCTTTAGCTCATGATATATGTTCTTCCTAATGTCACAGGGCTAAAGGGTAGGCTAATGTTCCTTGAATGCTCTCCTCTTAAGAGAGAGCATATCTTCATCATTCTGTAAGTAATCTTCAAATTGCACAGCCGAGGGGCAAATATAAAGTGTCTTAAGAGAAGGGGAAAAATCTTTAAAAGTGAGAAATTAAAATGTGATATGGCAAATGGTAAATAGCCTATTAAATCGTACTGCTAAAATGGAAATCCATTCGTCAAGTCATCTTCAGAAGTTCGATGCAGAGCTAATATGGGAGCACATAAGACACCCTGCCTCTTGTAATAATGAACAAATTGCCATCCTTTTTTTGGCTGTTATTAACAAGAATGTTTTTGAGAAGGATTTGAGAGGATTTTAAAAGATATTGCTGGCTACTGCTTAGGAAAAAAAAATCTCAGTTGAGAAACCAGGGGAAAACAAAAATCCTTACACTATCTAGTAAACAGACCCTAACCCTTGAAGATCCACCAATTTCACAAAATCCTGCTGCATTAACATTTACGAGTTAATATTGATTTACAAATTGTTATTACAATGCCCAGTACTGATTAACTTCACTATGTTTCTCAACAGCTGCAAAACTGTAAATACCATTGTCCTTTGAAGTTAATCTTGACAAATCGTCTTTGCTTAAAGCTTCATCGTATTTTATTTTATTTTATCGCTAAAGTAAATCATACAGTACCGAATATGCTTCTTGTCTCGTAGGGGGCTATTTGGTGGAAATGTCATGTTACAAAACTGAAAAACAATTCGTTTGTAGTATCTTGGCTCTGGAAGAGACTCTCTGGATGGCTTTAAAATAGGGTTAACTGGGAGACTTTATTACTTTGAATACATTTTTTTCTAATTCTTTTATTCTTATTCATTTGATTCCCAATAATGTTTTCTTGCCCGTAATATATCATTTCATTTATAATCTGCCTACAGTATGATTTATGAGGAAAGAAGGTGTAAAAAAGGCTGAA